TTCTTGAAGAACTTCCTCTATCATTTCTTATATTGTAGGTCTATTGGTGAAAGAGTCTCTCAACTGAAGATGTTTTTGTTTCACATCTTTGTTTGAAGGATATTTTTTCTGGATTTGGAATTCTAGGCTGAGAAATTATTATTTTTTGTTTAAAAAATGTCTTCTAGCTTAAGTTGTTTCTGATGGAAAGTTAGAGATCATTCTGATTGTTATTCTTCTGTATTTAATATATCTTCTCTGGATGCTTTTAAATATTTCTTGGATTACTAGTTTTTAGCAATTTCATTATTTGTGTTTATCCTGTTTGAGATTCATTGAGCTTCTTGGATTGTGAGTGTACATTTTTCATCAAATTTGGAAATTTTTCAGTCAATGTTTCTTCGAGTATTTTTCTTTCCTAATCTTTCTTTTCTCTCCTGTTGAGACTTTTCATTACATAGATGTTAGGTAATTGATCATGTTTACAGATCAACAGAAGCTCTGTTCATTTTTTCAGCCTTGTTTTCACTCTGTGCTTCTGTTTGGACAGATTCTGTTGCCCCCTCTTCAAGTTCACTGATCTTCTCTTCTGCGGTGTCTAATCTGCTTAATTAGAAAAATCCCTCAAGTAAACTTTTTACTTCAGTTATCATATTTTTCATCTAAGTTTCATTGGGTTCCTTTCATAATTTTTATTTTTCTCTTCATTATTTTTCATCTTCCCTGTGATTTCTGTATGTTTCTGTTAACTGGTTTTTCTCTTGATTATTGGTCACATTTTCCTGTGTTGCCTGGAAAATAATTGTTTCTTCCATGCTGCACCCTGGGAATGCTGTGTTGTTGACTTGATTTTGTCTTCCTTTGAAAAGAGTTTTGTTCTGGCAGGTAGTTAATTACTTACAGATCAACTCAATACTTCAAAAGCTGGTTTTTAAGCTGTGTTAAGGCAGGTTTAGAAGAGTTCTTATTCTGGGATTAGAGCAGCTCTTCTAAGGCATGACCTTTCTGGGTCTTAGCTGAATGCCTGAAAGCATTGAGCAAGGTCTCTCCTCTCTGGCAGGGGGGAACTCCAAATATCTCCTACTCTTGTGTGACTTTTGAATCCTCACTCACTTCACAGCCCTACAGCCCCCACCGCCCATTAGCTATTTTTCGCTAGGCTTTCCGGAGCCTCACTCTGCACAAATATAGTTTGGTATTCAGCCAGATTTCAAGGGGGCCCATCTGCACGTTTCTGGAGTTCTTTTTTGTTGCACAATACACTCTTCTTTGTGATTTTGCCCTGCAAATTCTCGCCACCTCAAAAGCCCTGAACTCAGATCACCGTCTCCTTCGTTCACTGAGATGTTTGGGCCCCACCTCTCTCAGCCCTGGTCCAGAGGGGCTCCCCAGGCAGAGAGCTAGCGTGACCAGGGGGCTCACATCATGTCTTCTCTTCTGAATCACAGTTCTGCCGCACCTTTGTCCAGCTTTCTAGTTGAATATGCCAGGAGGCTGGTCCTGTACCAGTTACTCCATCATGGCCAGAAATGTGAGTTCTCCAATTCTCTTTCTAAGATGAAGATCCGCAAGGAGAGGTTCCCAGCCTGACTCCTCTTGCATCCATCTCTCATTCATCCCTACCCCCAGCCTTTGAGCACGTGATTCTATTTGCCTCCAGTACAAAGTTTCAGGGAAACCCCCAGTTCTCTCCACTTCTTTGGTCGTGTGATGACTTTTCTTGAATCCTTGCATTCTCTACATTTTTTTGCTCCAGTTAAAATTTTCAGCTTTCCGGGAAGGAGACCACAGTGCTCTGTTATATTTTATATATCTCTTGTGTGTAGATATCACATGTGTGCCTGAGACTCTTTCATTCTTTCGCAGGAAGAGCTCAGGTAGCAATTCCAGCATGACGTTTTTCCCTGTAAGGTCAACAGAGGGAGCACACGGTTGAGTGGAATGAGTCAGGAGCCTGGGACATTGATCCTGACCCAGCCCAACCCATTCTGTGACCCAGAAGTGATAGCCATACCTCTCTGAGCCTTAGTAGCCCCATCTGTCTTACGCCCTTGGGACCGCTGGCAGGATAACATGTCAGATAGCTTCATGGCATTGTTATGTGCCTTCATTGGGATCCCATCTTCAATGTGCTCTTCTTCAGCAGTTCTGACTGTAACTTTTCTGGCCGCTCATGCATTGATACACGGATTCCATAGTGTCTCTTGAGCACTGTGTTTCAGGGAATGCACCAGACACTCTGCATGGCGGGCTAGGCTGGCAGAGTTCCTGCCATCTGGGAGTATACATGCTAATGAGGAGAGAGCCGTTGATCAAAGGTTATACCGTCTGGCATTATTGATGGTGATCAGTCCTTGGAAGGGAAGATGAGAGGGGAATGACAATAAATGGTCCCAGGTAGGGAGGTTTGTGGGAGGCAGACTCCCTAAGGAAGAGATCTTTAAGTATAGTATGTAGGACCCACAGTCAAAAGTTTGAGGGCAGAGGGAATGGCATGCACAAAGTCCCTGAGCTTGAAAGAGAAAGGATATTGTAGGCTATGAGAAGGTGAGGAGCTCAGAGGCCTGTGAGGAAGCTGGAGAGGGGAGCGGGTCCCAGGCAGGGTGGTCGGAGCACACAGGTGATACCCTCAGGCCTATTATACCATATGCTTTATGCACGTTCCTGAGCTCCCTACTCCAGGGAAAGAGAGGGATCTCTCCCTCAGAATGCCACGATCTTTATGGCATGAATTGTAGACTCTGTAGAGGGCTGATCCAGAAGAGCTCCTCGTGTCATTCTGCAGGGATGGAGCCCAAGGCCTCAGAGGGAAAGCAGCTTGATCAGGCTGCTGCTGAGAAACTCTGTTCCTGTGTGGGTCACTGCCATGGAGGGCAGAGGGGCACACAGCTTTGTGCCAAAGGTATCCTTGCACAGCCAGCAGACTTGAGCCCCGTCTCATCTCGGCACTAACTTGTGTGTGGCCATGAACAAACTTATTATGTCTGTGGCCAGAATAAGCCTTTGGGCCTTGAGATTTTTTTATCTCTGAAAAATAACCGTAATAGCTGCTTACATTTGAAGAGCAGTTTATCATTCAAGATGCTTCTGAGACTTTCTTGGATTTCCACAAAGTCCCCGTGAGGCCAGACATGCAGAGAGGGTCATCCTAGTGCTGGTGGAGGTGAGGTGGGGAAAAAAGGCCGAGAGGGGGAGGTACAGACTCCAGGATTGCTGAGGCCGGGGGTTACAGAGCCGGGCTTCAGAGGTAGATTTGCCTCACTCCAGACTCATGGCTGGCTCCATTACAGTGAATCACCAGCTTTGGTCCCCAAACTACACCTTGCACAAGAAGCCAGCAGAGATATTAGAAATGGACTCCAGGTGCCTGTTGGAACATTGAACGTGTAGGTTCATTCTGTGACAAAAAAAAAAAAATTGGAAACTATGAGACAAGCAATCCCCTGGTGGGACTCGGGGGCCTCTGAGGCCCTTGGCTCAGAAAGAGGGACAGAGAGTGGGAGTGAAGGCATACCAGTGTCCTTTGCCACCCAGACCTCTGAGTTCCTGATTCAGAAAGGGAGAATCCTAGAGTGGCAGCCCTCAGGTACAAGGGACATGAATGTTCTCCGCAGACTGAGGCCTTGAGATTTCTTTCTGGGGCTGGGGTGGGCAGATGCGGGCTTGTTTAAGTGGTGCATGACTAAAGAACTCCCCTGTGCCCGGCATCTGGCCACCACTGTGGGCAAGGAGTGGGTGACCCTCCACAGGGGAGAACGGGCAGCCCGGGTCCCCAGAGCTCACCACATGCACCAGCGTGGTAAATGAAGGACCGTAGAGTGGCCCCTCCTTTCTGCCACTCAGTTCCTCTGTGACCTTGGACGAGGCCCTGCATCCTGCTTCTTTGGGCCCGAGCCTTGCCATCTGTGCCAGGAATGAGCAGGGGTGGCGGGCCAGGGGGCCCTTTCATTTGGACTCTGCAAACAGTGCCCAGGACGGACATAGGAGCAGGGAGGTGGTAGGGCCCATCTCTACCTGCAGGGGCCCAGGGAGCAGCAGCCGGGTCCTTCTCTAGGTGGCCAGTACAAGACAGTACCCTTTGGTGTTACTCATTCTTGGGGGTTCTGTGAGCCTCTGGTCAGTACCAAAGGGCCCCCTTCCTCTTGCTGCCTAGCCCGCTTCCTGCCCTCAGGGAGAGTTGTGGATATTGCATGATCTCTAAATGAGAAGACCACTGCCTCCTCCTCTTTTGTTTTTATGGTTGGAGTGTGGCCAGGATCAGGGGTGGGCCACCACTGGTAAGGGTTCAGGGCAGGGTGAAGGAGGCCAACTCATGCTCTCCCAAGACCATCAGAGGTGGAAACTGCTTGAGAGTCAGCCCCTGGTTCTCAGTGACTCCAGCTTCTACGGAATTTGCAGGTGAGGGAGACAGGGGGCCTGGGTAATGGTGACGCAGGATTCCCCAGACAGCATCCAGGAACTGCTACACTTATTTCAATGAAAGCGTCAGGCATTGGGTCAAACAGTGTCCCCTGAGAGCAACAGTTCCCAGTCAGTGCCCGCAAGGCACCACAGAGCCCCTTGCCCTAAAGCCTTGGGGGCATCATGAGGCCCCTCTGCCTCCTCCCAGCCCCCATCAGCCCCGGCACATCCCTGCCTGTCTGCTTCTTATTGTGACTTCCAAGCCAGCCTTCCTTTAGGAAAAGGAGCTTAGAAACCAACATTCTAGAAGATGCACTTGGGCCTGGGCTAACTAATTCAGATGCCCTAAGAGTCAGAGACCGGGCCGGTCAAGGGTTATGGGTGACCTACACAGTGGGCTGCTTGGTGGCCTCCAGATGACAAAGCATGAGCTGACAGAAGGTTCCAGACTGCTGGACTTTCTCTGGCTCTGAGTTAAGTGAGAATCCGTGTTCTCTGTGGCACAAGAAGAGGTTGGGCAGAGACAGTCCCAACTCTGGAATGTGGGGCCAGTGGCCCGAGAGGCCACTCAGTCCACCGGCTGGGAGGGCCCTCGGGGACTGAGAGCGTGACCCTCTCAGGTACTGCCCCCGGGTGGGAGCCGCCGGATGATCCAGACACGGGCTCTGAGTGTTCACATCCAGAGGTCTCCCCATCTCCACGCTTCGTGGCAGCGAAGACCCAGACGAACCAGTCGGGGAAAAAAGCGCCGGCCTCCGTGGTCCGATGTGCGACCCTCTTACACCGCACGCCTCCAGCCACCCAAACCCAGACGTTCCGCACTCCAAATTCGGGATCTCCAGCGAGCAAGGCGACCGCAGGTACCAACGGCCTATGTGACCCCCACATGTTCTCCACCCCCGCCCTTCTCACCACCTGCCACAGCTGTGCCTGGGGTGGTTGTTCCCTTGGAAGAGCAAGAGTGGCAGTCTTGTAGTGATCTGGGACAAATCTGGGTCCCAGCTGTGCCTCTGGCTGGCTCTGTGACCATGGCAAGCCACCTAACCTTTCTGAGCCAAGTCTTCTCACCCTAAATCAGAGGGTTGTACAAGGGGTTTGCAAACTTTTTTTTTTAGAAGAATATTTTTTCCCAAATCATGGCCTTAAGGGCCTGTTTTGTTTGACATTCTCAGGGTTTAAAAATTTTTTTAGTTGACCGGGTGCCGTGGCTCACGCCTGTAATCCCAGTATTTTGGGAGGCTGAGGTGGGCAGCTCACCTGAGATCAGGAGTTCGAGACCACCCTGGGTAACATGGTGAAACCCTGTCTCTACTAAAATACAAAAAAAAAGCCAGGTGTGGTGGCACCAACCTGTAGTCCCAGCTACTTGGGAGGCTGAGGCACGAGAATCGCTTGAGCCCTGGAGGCAGAGACTGCAGTGAGCCAAGATCGTGCCACTGCATTCCAGTTTGGGCTACAGAGTGAGATCCCATCTCAAAAAAAATTTTTTTTTAGTTAAGTGCCACCATTTGTATGTCAGATTTTATGTAAAACTTTTGATTTCTACCTGACATTGAAAAGTCAGATCTGGCAGTCCTGGACCCACTTCCCGACAGGGCAACAATTGCCTGCCTCCTTGGGTAGAGCCACTTTTCCACAATCCCCACCATTCCCTACTGCCTCCCCAACACAACGGCCGTGTGGCAGGTGTCATTTCTCATTGTGATCACACTGTTGTTTGTCATACATCCAACCCAGTTCATCTGTTTGTACTGTCTGCCTGGACCCAGTTGGCATGAGTTTGCATCTCCCACCTTTCAGAAAACTTAATTAAAAAATAAAAATTAAAAACTCATTTCAACAAGGATCTGCTCTCAACACAGCAGGATAACCCGGATGGTTGACCAAGATCTCTGGTCTCTTGCCCTCCCCGTCTGTACCACTACCTGTGAAACTCTTCCATGAGATACAGGCCCAGCAGGAAACCAGTGGATGCCACCATGTCCTATGTTCACGCTGCTAAGGACTCTGGCTCCAGAGGGGTAAACAGACAGTAAAAAGTGCCCAGCAGTTATTTCCTCCAGGAAAACCGGCCAGACACACTGTGTGCTCATCAGGAATTCTTAGATTCACACTGGGGTAGAGCCAGCGCTGGGCCGCCTGCCTGGACATGTGACTTGTAGAGCAGAGTGAGGATATGGTGCTTTGGGACCGTGGGCTCTTCAGTTGTCCTCAGGAGACCAAAGCCATTTCTTAAATAAATAGATGATTAAGGTGAGAACTCTGGTAAAAGGAACCACTTGGTTCTTTGCGTGACTGGCGACCCAGCCGAGCGATTAAGCCATGCTTACCTTTACTCCTTAGTTCAGGAGACTAATTTTGGGCGAGGGTCTGGTTCTTTGAAGACATGTTTGTTGTGCTTAGATCTCCCAAAAGGAGAGTAGTTAATCAATCTTGAAGGTAATGGTTTTTCAGGTACCATGTTGAGAAAAGCCAATAACTGTTGTGTTTTTCAACAGTAGCATAAATTAGCTAGAAGCAAATTGGTCATCACGGTCTCACTGGTGATAGATGTCGGCTCCACTAAATAATGGAATCATGTCTTTCAAATCTTGCTTTCACTCTTGCACTTGGCTGGGAGTTTTTATGCCTGCAGTTTCTGCCGAGGGCAGCCCGCAGGGTGTGGTACGTGGCCGGTCTCCAGCCTGTGTCTCTGAGTAGGCATTCAGCCAGCTAGGGGACAGGCCTCAGGCTGGCTTCATGGGCCTTAGAAGACTTGTGGGTGGCGGGGTGTCACTTCTGGATTCACCAGCTGGGCGGGCGGGAGGGCATCCAGTTGGGAGCGGGAGCCTGCATGGGAGGTAAGATAGTGTGTGTTTGAGGAAGACACTGTCAGTCACTTCCTCGTCCTGGAATAAGTGACCCTTCATGTGTGGATGGACGTGTCCCTGTATGGGATTTCACCTCTGGTGGTGCACATTTCAGCCAGAGCTACCTGCAGCAGCAAGGAAAGCTGCTGAAGATGTGCACTGTCAGCTGAGCAGTGTAAGAGTTTGCAGCCTCAGTTGTGCTAAGTTCTACCAGCATGCCGGTCAGAAGCCCTCTGAAGTACCGGTCACCCGACGTACACAAGGATGAAGATGGAGAAGGCAGTCACTTCGCTAGCTCAGACCTTTGTAAAAAGGAAGCATCTGCCCCCACAGGGAAGTCTTCTTCTGCCATCTTGGAGGGTTAGGAGCACATCCAGCCCCAGAACTTGACAATCCCTCTCTTTCCTCTGTTTTTTCACCTGTGAAATGGGAATGACAGTGCAGCCCTCCCAGAACTCTTGGGAGAATTAGAGGGAGCATGGATGTAAAGCGTCTGGACCAGTGCCTGCTACACAGGAGGTGCTCAGCGAATGAGAGCCTCTTCCCTTTCCCTAGACAGAGAACAGAGAGGCCTTCTGTGCCAGTTTGCAGATGCTTGCCGAGACTCTCAGCCCAGGCATTTCACAGACATCTTTTGAAGGGAGGGTGGTCTTTGTAATGTTAGCAGCCTCTGCAGGAAGGATCCTGTCAGGAGGCGCTGTTACGGTGGGATGACGAGGGTCGTTTCGGGGGAGGTAGGGATTGGGCAGGGCCTGCAGGTGCTACCTCTGGCGTCCTTTCCCATCTTCCCCATGGACATCCACACCCCTGGCGCCCACAAACTAAGCACCTGCCCCTCCGGAGCAGGGTGGACCAGGTGAGAGTGGCGTTTCCCGAAGTGCGTCCTCAAGATCGTCAATTTTGTGAGAGATTTTGGAAGCTAATATTTTTAAAAGGGGGTTCTGTGGGAACCCCTCTTATGTTTGGAGAAGGCGAGGTTAAGTCAAGCTAAATGGGCCTCTTTCCGGTCAGACTTCTCAGAGCCTTTGATGTCTTTGGGCAAGTTGTTTCTCCTTAAGAAATGGACGGGGTCAGCTGCACATCCCAAATTGACTTGCTCCCTGAGGTCTTGATCTCCTGGATCATCTGGCATCGCCCTCATGCCCAGAGCACCTGGGAAAAGCTGGGCTGTCTTCCAGCTCAGATCATCTGTTTCAGTACCTTCTGCAGGTGGGGGTGGGGACTACATTCACAGTTTTCCACCTGGTTGGACCCTATCTCTGCATTGTAGGGTTTCCAGGGATCACCTGGGAGAGCGCAGGCCACTCAGGAAGATGGCAGCCTGTAAACAGAGACACCCCAGGTGTCACTCAGGAGGAACCCATCCCTTCCGCTGGGTGAACACTGAGCAGACCTTGCCTGGTTTTGGCCTCCGGGGGTTAGGGTTGCCCCAGCTCTCCCTGTCGTTCCCGCTATTCCGGGATGTCCTCCCTGTCACCAGGGACTATCCAGCTGATGGAAGTGGAATCAGAAAATAGGCTGTCGTGATCCCTGCGCTTTGGTGGGGCCTGTGGCAGCAGAATGTGACAGAGGAAGTAGTGGGCGGTAGATCCAATGACTTGGTGTCACAGGTGTGGCTCTCCAGGAGCCAAAGATGGCAGACTCAGGCCCATTTACCATCTGCTCCCTGGCTGGATTTCATCCATGTGTTTTTAGGCATGTCACCCCCGCCCCGTGCCTGGGCCTCCTGGGCACTGCCAGGAGGGTCTCTTGGGGCCCTGGCAAGGTGTTAGCCTACTCAGAGGGGCCCGGGGAGGTCTGGCTTGGGCTCTCGGAGCCCTCACTAGAGCTGGTTGCCCCAGCAGAGTCCTTGGCCTTCATCCAGCCTGCCCCTCCATTGAGACCTAGTGCTGACCAATCACCTTTGTTCCCTTTCTCTCTCCTGTCCCCCACCCAGCAGAAAGCGCTTTCAGTCGGAGAGTAGAAGGCAAAGCACAAAACCACTTTGAAGAGACGAACAGCAGTTCGCAGAACTCCAGCGGTGAGTGTGCCCCTTGACAGCCATCCTGTGTGGCAGCTGCCAGCTTCACCCACTCCCCCCTGGCAGCTGCAGCAGCACCCTTTGGACTGGGGTCTTTGTGGTGCATGATGGATCTTGTTGGGGGGAAGCTGGGAGCAGGGAATCAGAGGGGGACCGCAGAGACAGGAGGGGCCTTTTCTTCCAGGGACATTCCTCTGCACCTTGGGCATCAATGGGCAGTGCCTCCTCTGTCTCCCCCATGGAGAGGGCAGCACCCCTCTCCATAGCCTGCGGCATTAACTCAGCCAACCCCGGATGGTTGGGCCGGAGAGAGCCACTGCTATGTTTTTAGGATAGACATCGCAGCCAGTTTCTTTACAGGAGAAGCAAGGAAGTACAGTAGGGAGAGCTCTAAAAGGCTGGGTGCCACGTCTCATGCCTGTAATCTCAGCACTTTGTGGGGGCCGAGGCGGGTGGATCACTTGAGGCCAGGAGTTCGAGATCAACCTGGCCAACATGATGAAACCCTGTCTCTACTAAAAATACAGTAGCTATAATCCCATCTACTCAAGAGGCTGAGGCAGGAGAATCGCTTGAACCCAGGACCAGGAGGTTGGAGTGAGCCAAGATCGCACCACTGCACTCCAGCCTGGGTGACAGAGCGAGACTCTGTCTAAAAGAAAAAAAAATAGAGCTCTGAGAGCGAGAGTCCCCAAGTTCTGGCCTTATTTTGGCCCTGGAGCCATTGGAACTGAGATTCCCTTCCAGCCCCTACCTGCTCAAGTGGGTTTAAAGTGAGGTTCCCAGTGGTATCTGGCGCCCCCTGACGGCTGCCTCGTGGAGGACCGTGGCAGAGACTCAGAGCGTCCAGAGCAGCAGCCAAGGGGCCTCTCCCACCAGACCCAGGGTCAGCCTGGCGTGGCCATGGCTGGCCACCAGCAGCCTCTGTCCAAACAGGACACTGCAAGCTGATCTGTACCTTGAGAGCCAGGGCAGGAGGGGAGAGAAATTCTCACATTGTGGTTACATTAGGGGAAGACACCCACTCACTTTCTTGCATGGTTAAAGTTTAATTTACCACTTATGAGGTGTCAACCTATGCCAGGCACTGGGCCGGGCACTGCCTGGGTGTGGACAGGCGACGAACACAACACAACCATAGGGACCCTGTGAGACAGCCAGGAGGCCAGACTCGAGTGTGGAGGCATCTGCCTAGTAACGGGAGCCCCACTTCGGGCTCGTACTCAGTGTGAACCCCAGCTCCACCACTTACTAGCTGGTGACTTCGGCTGGTCTCTGGATCCCTCCTCTGCTGTAAAGTGGTTGACGAACACACATAGCCCCATGGCGGTTGTGGACACTCAATGAGTGCCTGGCACAGATGACGTACTCAACTGTCAGGGTTTTTTGGTGGTGATAGTTGGTTATTTTTATTTTTTAAGTAAACCAAGTGATTTGATGGCTGCTCTGTGGAAGGGAATGAGGTTTTGAACAGTGTAATCCACACAACCTCTCCAAGAGGTAGACCCAAAAGAGAGGGAGGGAGTGACTTGCCCAAGGCCACACAGGAATGAGTAGCAGTGCTGGGCTGGAACCAAGGTCTCCGAGTGTGCCCTGTGCTCCCAGCCAAGCCATGCTGCACCCGCTGTGCTTCCCCTGCCCCCAGAGCTAACCAGTCGGGAACAATAGTGCGAGACCTGCTGCTGCTGCTGTGGGCAGCCGCCATTTATTGAGCGCTTACTGTGTGCCTGGCATGTGTTCAGAGCTTTATATGTCTTATCTGTCTTCCTCCTTACCACAGCCCATGGGAGTCAATGTTACTGTTATCCCCACTTTTTGGAGTGGGAAACTGAGGCTCAGGAGAGGTGGATTGCTGCCCCAGGTCCCCCAGATTATAAGTGGTGGAGCCAGGATTCCCCATCTAGTCCATCTGGCTCCACTGTGGTGCCTGCTGCGTTTGAGGCTTGCCAACCACGGGCAGCGCCAGGAAGTGGAGAAGAGCTGCCAGCCAGCAGGAGCCCTCCAAAGCACAGCCGCTCGCAGTGGCTGCTCTGGTGTTTGGTACCAAACATCCCCAGTCTGGTGCCAGAACCTAGAAGTAGCTTCCAGCTCCCTGTCCCAAAGTGAGCTGCCGTATGAGGATGTCTTCTCACCAGTACTCACGTGGCCTCGCTCTTTCAGAGTGAAGGGTATCCCGGAGGGATGGCAGTGACTTGTCTTGCCCTGCCTGGTGACCCCGGAACCCACAGTGAACCTTGATCCTCTGAAAGCCACGGCCTCTGTGTCAAGCCTCCCCCAACCCCACCCCAGATTGTGAGCCTGCCTTTTAGATGCTCCCCGCTCCTCTGAAAGCCCATCTGGCTCACTGGTTATTAAGAATAAAAATTACGATGATCAGCACAGAACAGCAGAACTGGAAGAGATGGCTAAACTGTTTCTCTTTTGCAGAAACTGCAAGTCCCCTGATTTCCAACCCTTTCCCTCTCCTACAGAGTAAGTGATGGTCCCGGCCGGGGGGCTGGAGAGGGCAAGGCAGGGCAGGGAAGGAACTCAGCCAGCCACATGCTCCCGGAGCCTCCAGGCTGTGTGAGATGGGCTTTGGGCCGCCCTCCCGGGCAGACCTGGCAGCTGGTAGAGGCAGGCCCAGGTCCAGCCCGGGGGGGGGTGGAGCAATTTGGATGGGGTGGGTCAGAGCCCTGACCAGCAGCTGCTTTGGCTCTGCTGCCCAGCCCTGGCAGGAGCTCAGGCCTTCCCATTCGCGGTCATCAGGCAGCCTCAGGACACCTCTTCCGAGCCCCATCACAGCCTTCCTTTTTCTTCTTTTCCTTGCTGTTCTTCCCACCCCGCTTTCTTTGTCCTCTTCTTTCTCCCCTTCTCCCTCTTCTCCGTGAGTGCTGGGAGCAGAGAGCCGTGAGTGCTGGGAGCAGAGAGCCGAGTGATCCAGGCCCCTGTGCTCCTTGCACTCGTTCCCACGCGTGCCCTCTCTCACTCCTCCCTCCCTCTCTCTCCCTTTCCCCATCGGATCCCCACTTCCTCCTGCTTCTCTGTGGCTTTCTCCACTCCTTACCCCTTCCCTTCTTGCTTCCCTTACGTCTGTTATCTTGGTTTTTGTTTATTCATACACTCATTCATTTGTTCACTTGGCAAAAAGTGACCTCATGTGGTTCCACAGAGAGAGCTGGGCTGTGACACCATGAGACTAGGTCTCCACCCTGAGAGGGCCGCTGGTCTGTTGATGTTGATGTTGTCCCCCTACCCCCATCTCAAGTGCACAGAACAGTGGCTGGCACGCAGTAAGCACTCAATAAATAGCTGCTCAGTTGAGCTAATGGTCTCTCTCTGCATGGCTTCCCTCTCCGTCGTTCCTTCCCCAGCCTCTCCCTCATGAGTCCAGTGACGGGGAGGCAGGCAGGCTGGGCCTGGAGCCCTGGGCACGGAGACCCAGCGTGTGTTTGGGTTCCCACTTGCAAAGCTGCCTGCAGCCCAGCAGAAGGTGTCTGCGTTGGCTCCGCCCCTCACGCCGCTGCCTTGTTTCTCCCTCCAGAACCCTACACCTGCGGCGCCTGTGGGATCCAGTTCCAGTTCTACAACAACCTGTTGGAGCACATGCAATCCCACGCAGGTAAGGGGCCCAGCAGCCCACCAGGGATGCGGCTCCTCTCCCGCTCCCCTTCCTCAGTTCCTGCAAATGGAAGAGATGGCCAGAGCCTGACCTGAGGCCCCCAGGGATGGCCACTGTTTCCTGGAAAATGGTCACAGGACATGGAAGGGGGCCCTAGTCTGTCAGTTATTAACACGGGCTGGTCTGTGCTCTGCAGGCGGGGGTGGTGAGGGGGCAGCACAGGCTCTGTGGGAACAGGGAGAGGTGGGACAGAGTTGAAAAGACTTCTTGGAGGTGGTGACCTCTTAGCTGGGCCTAAAGGCCAAGTAGGAACTGGCCTGGAAGCAAAATGTCCAGGTGGAAATGGAACATGGTTTGAGATCAAGGTGAGCAGAGGCAAAAGGTGGGGATGGCCAGACATGCAGCCCAAGGCAAGCTGGGCTGAGGCCCGCCTCCGAGCAGTCTCATTCACTAACACCCTATGTCCCATAATGCTGTTGCGCCCACACTTGAGCACATGTCAGAATCACCAGGAGGGCTTGCTAGACACAGATTTCTAGGCTCCATTGTGAATTTCTGATTCTGTAGGTCTGCAGAGGAGGGGACTAGGATTTGCATTTCAGGTAAGTCTTAAGACAGTGCTGATGCTGCTGGTTCAGGGACTGTCCTTTGAGAATTACCGCCCTGGAGCTACAGGCTCAGTCATCTCTCTAGGCAGCCTTTTCATCACATTTCACCGCAGCATAACACGGGTCTCAGGGAGACACTTATTTGCTGGAATAAGTAATTCCAAATTCTCAGTGGTTAAACATACAAATCATTGACTTCTCGCTACATTACAGCCTAATGCACATGACCTAGCTGGGTGGCTTCCACATGGTGACTCAGGGATCAAGGCTCTTTTTTTCTCCTTATAGCTCCATCCTCCTCTGGATCCTCAGAGTCCTCTTTCTTTGTGGATAGGGAGAGGGCCTCTGGGGCAGGCACACTTCTTTACCATTTTAGACCACAAGTGACACCTGTAGATGCTCAAATTCCAGTGTGGAGAATTAGTCACATGACCAGCCTGAATCCATGGGCGGAAGCATGCCCAGGGCCATTGTCCCAGGACAGCTGGACCCGTTGTAAAGGGAAACGTGAGTCTGGGGAGGTAGCTAGTTGTCCCTCCACCCCTTTCCCCAGAGGAATTCTCTAGAGTCATTAGAAAGAATGGGTGAGAAGTGCCTGACATATAATTGGGGACAGTAATTGGTAGCTGCCATCATTTCACCTGTTACTGTTACTGTAAAAATCTTTCATATCATCTCCCAGGTCTGACCTGACTAGCATAGAGTATTACAGGACTAGAATCTCTTTTGGGCTAAGTACTGATCTATTAGTGTAATCTCTATCATTCATTCATTCATCGAACATATAGTAATTGGGTATCTACTGTACACGAGGCACTAAATCAGATGATCTTTTTCGGGGAGCCTATTGGTGCTGTGTGACCTTCCACAGGAAGCTCTGCCTCTATCTCTAAAGTGAGGGCCTGAAAATCCCCATCTCCAGCAACCTTTCCCACACCACGCTTCCCACCTCCTGCTTTCCTCTGTCATCAGCTGTGCCTCACCAGGGAAGGCCTCAAATGCCACCTCAAGGCATTTGGACTTGACCCCATGGGGAAGCAAGACCCCCAGGCTAGTGACAGCAGTTGGTGGGCCTCTTGGGAACCACTGCCTGAACATCTTGCTTGGTCCCGAGACTCCCACGGCAAGGCCGCCTGCACTCCTCTGAATCCCCAGCACTCTGCCCGCACCCTGCCAGTTTCTGGAAGCTGAGCTGTGATTAGAGAAGAGCCTGGATGCCAGTGCTCTCCCATCCCTGGAGGCCTTTAAAATGCAAATCAGGGCTGAGCCTTGAGGTGGCCCCACCCCTCCCAAGCATCTTGACTTGTTTTCAGAGTGGAGCCCTGGGCTGCTTTGTTCTAGTTCAGCGCTGCCAGAGAATGCCTGGCCAGCAATCCAGCGCAAAGCCAGGTTGAATCCCAGCCACACTGAATCAGGATTAAAGGCTTGGCTCCATAGAGAGAAATTAAGCGTCATGAGCTGCGCAGTTCACAGCGCCGCCGATAAGGAGGATCAGCCTCAAATAACACCAATCTCATTATGGGGCTGCTGAATGGCACAGGGTAATTCCCACTAATAAACTTCCTTTCTGTGCTGTAGGAAAACCTGGCGTGCCTTCGTGACGTTGGAGAAGCGTGCTTTGGCAGTAATAAGACCACAGATAGCTAGTTTTGTGAGTGCTTTCTGTGTGTCAGTTGTGGTACTGAGAGCTTTACATAGTTATTTCATCAGATCTTCCTGATTAGGTAATTGACATTTTCATCCCCATTATGCAGACGATGAAACTGAGGCTCAGAGAACATAATCACGAGGCTCAGAGAACATAATCACTGGCCCAGAGTTGCACAGCTTATAAGCAAGCATCCAGTGGCATTTGAGTTTTTACTTGGTTCCAGGCCATGTTCTAAGACTTTTACATATATTCATTCATTTAATTCTCAGAACAACCCCTGGAATTAAGTGCCCATAACAGCTCCACTTCATAGCTGACAAAGCGGAGGCACAAATTGGCTAAGTAACTTGTCCAAGACTGTGCAGTCACAGTGGCAGGCTATGGATAGGATTCCAGCTCTCGCAGTGAACTCCAGAGCCCATGCTGTCAGCATCCACCCTGTGCAGCCTTGGGTAGACCTGACAGAAGATTAGCAGAGATGGAAGCCCTCTCAGAGGCCATCTCTTTCAGCCTCCTCATTCAGTTACAGCCAGGAGGACTACAGCTAAGAGGGATTGGGAGATCTTACAGGCAGCAAGCAAGCTGGCAGCTCAGGGGTGTAGGATTTTGGAGGTGACCACACTTGGTTTCTTTCTTTTTTTGAGACAGAGTCTTGCTCTGTCACCCAGGCTGTAGCGCAGTGGCGTGATCTCAGCTGTATACCTGCAACCTCCACCTCTGGGCTCAAGCAGTTCTTGTGCCTTGGCCTCCCTAATAGCTGGGATTAAGGTGTGCACCACCATGCCTAGCCAGTTTTTGCCCAGCCTGGGTGACAGATCGAGATTCCATCTCAAAAAAAAAAAAAAGTAAATTTTTAAAAAATTACCAGGCAAATAAAATTTAGAAATTTGAAGAGTACAGTTTGATTGGTTTGGACAATTGTATGCTGTTGTTTAACTACCATCACAATCAAAATATATAACACTGGCTGGGCACTGTGGCTCACGCCTATAATCCCAGCTCTTTGGGAAGCTAAGGAGGGAAGATTGCTTGAGTCCAGGAATTTGAGATCGGTCTGGACAACATAGCAAGACCCTGTCTCTAAAAAAAGAAAAAAAATCGAAAAAATTTAGGGCACAGTGGTTCACACCTGTAAACCCAACACTTTGGAAAGCTGAGGCAGGAGGATTGCTTGAGGCCAGGAGTTTGAGACCAGTCCTGGTCACCATAGCAACACTCTGTCTCTACAGAAAATTTAAAAATGAACCATGCATGGTAGCACACACCTGTAGTTCCAGCAGTTTAGGAGGCTCAGGTAGGAGGATGGCTTGAGCCCGAGGGGTTGAGGTTGCAGTGAGCTATGATGGTGCCACTATGTGTCAGCCTGGGTGAGGGAGCAAGACCCTGTCTCTAAAATATAAAAATAATATGACCATCAACCCAGAAAGTTCCTTCATGCCTCTTTGCAGTCATTCCCTTTCTCCTACCGTAGCCACTGGCAACTACCATCTGCTTTCTGTCACTATAGTTTTGCCTGTATTGGATTTTATTATATATGGCGTTCTATGGTATTCAGCCTCTTGTGTCTAACTTCTCTCACTTAACATACTTTCGAAGTTTGCCCATGTTCTGTGTTATCAGTAATTCCTTTATTTGACTGAGCTGTATTTCATGGTCTAGACATACCACACTTTGTTTATCCATTCACCAACTGATGGTCATTCAATCTCCAGTTTGGGACTATTACAAATAACACTGCTATGAACATTCATGTACAAGTCGTGTGCATGTGTAGAGACATGCTTTTAATTCCTTTGGGTGTATACCTGGAAGTGGAGATGCTGGGCTGTAAGGTAATTCTGTTTAATCCTGTGAGGAATTGCCAGATAGTTTCCTAAAGTGGCTGCACCATTTTTACATTTCTACCAGCAGTGTATGAGGGTTCTAATTCTCCATATCCCTGTCTTCACTTTTTATCATCTTCCGTCTTGATTATGGCCATCATAATGCATGTGAAATGACATTTCATTGTGGTTTTGACATATTTTTCTGACAGCTAATAATGTTGAGCATCGGTTCATGTGCTCATTGACCACATTGGCAAAGGATCTGAATAGACGTTTCTCCAAAGGAGATATACCCAGTAATGGGATTGCTGGATCAAATGGTAGATCTACGTCGAGGTCTTTAAGGAATCTCCACCCTGTTTTCATAGTAGTTGTGGTAGTTCACATTCCCACCAGCAATGTAAAAGTGTTCCCTTTCCACCACATCCTTGCCAACGTCTATTATTTTTTGATTTTTTAATTACAGCCATTCTTGCAGGAGTAAGGTGGTGTCGCACTGTGGCTTTGATTTGCATTTCCCTCATTATTAGTGTTGTTGAGCATTTTTTTCATATGTTTGTTGGCCATTTGTATATCTTCTTTTGAGAGTTATCTGTTCATATCCTTTTTGATGGGATTGTTTGCTTTTTTCTTGCTGATTTGAGTTCCTCGTAGATTCTGGATATTAGTCCTTTGTCAGATTCATAGTTTGTGAAGATTTTATCCCACTCTGGGTTATCTGTTTACTCTGCTGGTTATTTCTCTTACTGGGCAGAAGATTTTGTGTATAAGACCCGTCTATTTATCTTTGTTTTTGTCGCATTTGCTTTTGTGTTCTTGGTCATGAAGTCTTTGCCTAAACCAATGTCTAGAAGCATTTTTCTCATGTTATCTTCTAGAATTTTTATGGTTTCAGGTCTTAGATTTAAGTCTTTG